TCATTCTAGTTTGTATCTGTGTAATATTATGTATTGTGATGGGACTGATCTTATAAAATACACATTTTAGTTCATTTGTTTTTTTGTCAATAGAGGGTATTTAAAAAATATATTATTTTATTTATCATGTGTGACAAATTATGAAAATGATTAAATTTACAATAAAAACTGAAAAACGATGTTAAGTTTACCAATGACTATAAAAAAGCGTAATTTCTGAAAACTTTTTTACTTATGACGTGTTTAAAAATATTCTTTTACTTATAGCAATTGATTTTGTTTTATAATAGTTAAAAAATTCAAGTAAATAATTTATTTGGCACTGTTTTTCCGTGTATTTACCACATTTTTATTTATTATCGGTATTTTCAACCGGCACTTCTTTATCTTGGCATAGGCACAATTTTGTCCGCAGCTGAATTAATCGTATTTATTTTCTCCAGTGCCATTTTGTGATGGTGCTAATTTGTCCGGCGCTATTTTGCGACAGAGCAAAAATAATCCCCTTCCAATAAATTTTAATATTTTTTTAAACGAATGATAAAAATTTGAAAACTGATTTAAAATGTTTCTATCAATATTAACATATTATACGTAAGTAGAATGGTGTTTTTAAAGTTTCAAGGGTATCGGGTAATAATATTAATTTGTGTAATTTAATGAAAAAGTAGCTAAGTATATCGAAAAATACTTGCGTGCATTTTTAAATTACCTTATTGTTGGCCTTTAAAACGTTTTCGTAGCTAGTTGTTTTAATTTTTTTGTTTATTCAATAGAAAATATTAAGTTTAAAACCAATAAGTTTCAGAGCTAGAAGACTTGGAAACGGAAGTCATCTTTTTAATCAATCCTCAGAAACTTTAGGACTGTAGTAAAATTTTATAAAGTTCATACCCTTCGATATCCGGCATGTATGAATATTTGCGACTACTTTAAAGTAGGTACCTAAATAATTTAGCAGCAAATAATCAAAGTATTAATACCAAATTAAAATATATAATATAAATAATATATTAAACAAATTTAAACGTAAAGTTAAATACATTGCTGTTTTTATAGTCAATTATTTAACAGGTACTAAATACTTATTTATTATATGTGTAGGTAAACTCTGAAAAGGGTTTTCTTGAATCAAACAAATGGATTTGTCTGAAATATGTTTGTAATGTTGAACAAATTTTGTTTAATCCGAGACCACCATTCTTATGTGAAGAAATTCGAGTTGTTTGAATATACCTTTCAATTTTTTTCAAATTCAAGTTGACAATTATTTATTTCAAGCATTAAATATATTAAATTTAAATACATTTATTTCCATAACGCAAAATTCTAGATTATTTAGAAAACAAGCATCGGATTTATTTGTATCAAATTAATATTTATTGGCAAATAGACTTTGATTCAGCCAATGGAAGCTTATTTGGATTTCTTTATAGACTCTCGCTGAGTGGTCTCTTGTTAGCAGAACTAGTCTGATTTGGTATTTGAATGCGTACGGTCACAGAAGCAAATTTTCATAGGGTCTTTGTATTAGAGAAGTACTTAAAAATGTAAGTTGCTATACGACTGCTTATTAACGCAAAGTTTTGCCATTTTTATTGTCGGCTATTACAGTTCATCAAATTTCTAGAGGTGTTCGACGCCCAGACAGAGAACGCGCTACATGTGACTAAGATAGCTATTGTACAGTCTGCTAAACAAGTTATTTTAAATACTTTTTAATATTTTTAGGTAATTAAATTTTAAAAGTGTGGAATAGTTTAGGGATTAAATTGGTCTGATTGGACTTTCTTAGAACGTTTTTAAAAGCAGCTAAAGATAGTATGTAGAATTGAAAATAATTATTATGCCATAAAAGGTGTTTTGGAATTCCTTCAACCTTTTGAAATTGAGTCAGAAAATATAAATTTTATAGGATAGCGGAAAATACCTATAATTTTTTTGTAGGCCTTTGTAAATCGTGGAAATAGTTTATATTTTATTTCTACCTTATTAAGGAAAATGATACCTATTATTAATAACGGTTGTTTCTGAAACATTACTAAAATTTTCGAAATTTTGTTTTTCTACAAAATAATAAACTATACTATTTAGAAAAAAATTTATTTCTCTTATAATTTTATAAAAAATAACAGGGGAATATTTACATTTCTTGATCTATTGAACAAAACGATAAATTATCTCGACGAATGACACCATGTTCTAGTACGGAAGCTAGCTTTACATTTTTGTTGGTGGTTTCATGGGTTTCATATCAATTTTTTGTAATTGTAGTTTACACGTACATATACCTCTTAACACTTGTTCGCTTTATTAAAAAAGTGTGTTGTTGTGATTTACGTCGAAATAAGTCAAAAACAACTTGAAACCCCATATAAAATCAAAAAGGAGAAACGGAAAAAAATTGAGCCTGTAAATGAACACAACTCAGAAACAAAAATAGCTATCTAATAATAAAAAAATAAAATTTGATTCTTGTGCAGCTTCATCTATATCATTAACTGTTTTTGGTTTTTTAATGGTTTTTCTTGGTGATGAAAATTCCGATATCTCACGTTTATCGATTCTTTTTTTCTCTCCAGAAATGCGGACGACAGTGTTTTTAGATACTCCTGTGGCTGCAGCAACACGATCATTTACATATTTAAATGGTATTGAAGGTGAATTAAAGTTTCCTTCTCTTCTCATAAACTCTATAACATTGGTTATTATTTCGCGAGATTGACTGTTAATCACGCGGCCTCTTAATTTGCTATTAAACTCCATACTTAGGTTCTATTAAACTGTAATGAGCAAAAAACACAAACGAAAATAAAAGAAATGTTTTAGCGAAATTTACATCTGACATTTACGTCTGAATGAAATAGTGAAATACTTGATGCGCAGAGTGTACTTTCATTGCGTAAATCCGTCGGGATGCCTGTCAGTAGTGCTTTCTCTGTCTAGCCGTCGAAAGCCTCTAGAAATTTGATGAACTGTAGATATTAACGCCACTTTGCTGCAACTGTTGAATATTTCAACTCAATATCTCGTTTGTTTTTCTATAGCAGTACCTTGTAGTCCAGATTTTACTTTTGTGGTAGAAATCATCCATTATACAAATGAATAATTATTGGAATAAATAAAACATTATTGTATAAACTTGTTCTAGTCTAGTGCGCATGATCGAATTACGTAATACATCACATGCGTTCTAATATTTTACAGTGTGTTTGCCAAGTTATAATGTGTATATATCTGTACCTATATAATACGATCAATTTTTAAAAATAGTTATTGTCTAACAATAAATTTCATAAAAGGAGAGTGGCAGTTTCCCAAAATAGTTTGTAGTTCTGTCAAAAATCATTTGTTAAATTGTCTAGAGAGAAACATTTCTACATCCTTTTTCATAATCAGTTCATTCAGAGACTTGCAATTATTGGCGGTAGGATATTTTTTATTTAGCGATTCAAGTACCTCTGTTTGTCTACCTTTTGTATGAATTCCATTTTATGGAGATATCTTCACGTGTTTCGTTTCTCAAAGAGTTGATAGATTTTGGGCGAATTCCGAAGAATTTGGAAAAACTATTTTCTAAATCCATATACACTGGATTTTCGTTTACATAGACATATGTAACGTAAAATAATTTTTGTTAACCTTTGTAGGTATATTAGAGTGGTCCAAAAAAAAGTATTTTGCCTATCATCTCAAAAGATTCATTTAGGCAAAACAAAATTACCTCCAAAGCGCAGCTTGATATTTTAATTCTTCACGAAGCTCAATTAATGTTTATTTCCCTATTTAAATAACGCGTAAAAAAAATTGTTTGCGTTTTTATCCAATAAAACAACGTAAAAATTTTTTTCGAAATTTTCCTTCAATTATTCTTATAGGAAATTTAATTTGCTACAAAAAAGTACTAAAGTAGTTTTTTCGTAATCCTAACGGGTAAAAAATTATTAACCTTCAAATGCCTGCTATTAAGTGAATTTGAGAGAAAAAAGTTTCTAAGCAACTTTTTGTAGAAATTGAGATTATTACTCAATAATTTATGTAATTTTTATGACTTTTTGTAGAAATTGAGATTATTACTCAATAATTTATGTAATTTTTATGAATTTGAAATAATTTTTAACATTTTGAAAACTTTTTTGGTGACTGCATGTATTTATTTCAAAATTTATTAAACTCGTAGAGTGTTTACAATGTTTGAATAATTTTATATTTGTTTATATAATCATTTATAATTGTTTTAAGGTGAAGGGGGGAGAAAAAGTCCTTTATATCTCACAAGGAAAGTCAATGTTTAATTATTCAACAAAACATTGAGTGCGACCGGTTTCGAAGTATCATCACTTCATCTTCAGGCTCGCCTAGTGGAAAGGAGAATATGTGGTGTAAGGTGTGTTGACTTTGAGCCCACAATATATAAAAAATAGTAAAAAATAGAAAAACTCACCATACTCTCCATCCACTAGGGAATACTACAGACAAGTTTCATCAAAACGTGGGGGATGAAATAAATTGTAAAAACAAAACAATGTTACAAGTTATAAAAAGTTAAAAATATTTGAAAAACAAATATTAGTCGATATAAACAGTTAAAAATCAATGTTTTGTTGAATAATTAAACATTGACTTTCCTTGTGAGATATAAAGGACTTTTTCTCCCCCCTTCACCTTAAAATTACCTCAACTCACACATGGCTACCCCCCTTGTCAATTTATAATTGTTTTTATTACAATTTGGATACTTTTTCCTATGAGCAGCAACTATTTGTAACAGGTATTGTTTCTGTTCCTCATCTTCGGTTCCAAATTGGTTGTATTTTTCAATTAAAGCAACCGCGCGCTCTGCCATATCGTTGACTACCTTAAGTTCTCTGAAGAATTTTAAGCAATTAATATAATTTTTATTTGTATTCCACAACAAAGGATCCATATCAAGGAAATCGCACGACAAATTAAAGGAATCAAATAAACTATTGATCCTTTGGTAATAAATTCGCTCATATCTAGGTCGTAAATACCTTCGGATATTTGTACTCTAATTCGTTTAGCATCTGAAACTCTTTATTTTTGAATGAGTGAATCATTTTTAATTTTATTTCTTGAGGTATTGAATCGTCGAAAAATGATAGTGGCGCGAGCGATTCTGACAAATACCACCCATGTCTTAAGAATGTATCTACAGCTGCACTTTTTTGTTTATTTCTTTGTAATTGATGATGTCTTAAAAATTGTAAGTCCTGATTTGGAGCTTTAATGGCATTAGGGCATTGACACCACGCTTTGACATAAATCGTTACGATAAATAGACATATGTCACGAAGCTGAGGTAACTCTCGGGCATTTATTTTAAATTGTTTTTTAAACATAAACAATTTCAGACAATAAATAGCTTTCGATAACCATCTTGCATGGTGCATCGCTCCAGGTCGTTTGAATACAAAGCCATGAGATGGAGTTCCTCCCAAAAAAATATAAGTCAAGTCCAACAATTCTTTGTAATTAGCTCGTGGCTGATATTCCTGTAGCAGTAAAAATAGTAAAAATTATTAATATAAGAAAAGAATTAATAATTACAGACAAAACCTGAATATTACCTTAATTTGAGCGGAGATAAATTCTAGAATTCCCTGTCTTGTGTCTCCGGTTTTTGTATCAACTTTAGAATCTTCAATCCCAGTCTCAAATATTTCTTTGTTTATATTTTCCCAATTATTCTTGAAGCGACTGAATATAGCAACATTAGTAACCGGCCAACAAGTTTCTGCGACACTTCTAAGCACCAACTCGTATATATAATGTCGACAACCCAAATGAAGAAGATTTCTGTTAAAATGACGTTCAAGCTGTGTGCATGTTCCATTATTTAAACCTACGAAGATGATTTTAAATTAGCACTTGAATAAATTATTCCAAGTGAGTTCTTCTTACCCGTATTTATAGCAGCAGTATCGAAACATGCACAAACTCAAACCAATTAATTCAGTCTACTAAGCATTGATATTAAATCAGATACCTTCATCACTATCAGATTGTGATTTTGATTCAATAATAACAGGACATGACCGTTTTGCACTTCGTTGAAGGACTTTTGAAGTGCTATATCAAACATTAAATCCAACTTTAAAGAAAATTGTTTTTCTTTTGACTTTTGACTTTTTTACGAATAGTTTGCTTCAGAAAATTCAAATTATAAAAAAAAAACACTCAATACTTGTCGCTGAGAAGGTGCTTTTCTTGTGTTCAATGCACTGCTTTGAAATCCTACTAAATATGCATATTGATTTTTAGATCCACTCGAAATTTTGTCAGTGTTATCATTGTATAAAGAACTAATAGTAGTCTCACCTTATGGAAGTTTCATTGGAGGGAAATGGATACTACCAATAGATGGCGCTAGTGAATATGGATAAGTCGATATTCGTTTGCAGTGGGCGGAGTTGAGGGTCCAGCAGAAATTTTTAAGAATGACGGAGACCGATCGATGAATTTCTATTTTTAGCTCTTGGATGAAATTTTATACACTCGTGATTGAATGTTTGGACTATTTTCTATCTAATATGTTTGTTACTGTGCGTTAGTGCGTTTACGGGTAGTAGGTATTGTGAATGAGTTGTGTTTGTTTTATTACTGAATTATTTTACTGTTAATAAAGGACGAGTTCCCAACAAGAGTAACAATATGATTTATATAAAAAAAATTTGTGTATTTATAACTGTTTTGGAATTAATAAAATAGAAAATATGCTTTTGTTTTTCTTTTCCTTTACAGGTCTTATCCCAATTAATTTAAAATAAATTATATAATATTAATATAGCAATAATAATACATTTCTTAAGTGTTGAAAAAATTGTATTTTTAATTTAAATACATATACCTATAGGTAGGTAGGTAAGGTACCTACCTAAGTACTTAGCATAAGTAATTATAAACACGGTATTTCTTTAATCTGGTAAGTAACAATGTAATAAAAAAAACCCTTAAGATGGTTTTTAAATAATATAAATGAATTCTTAATATTGAAGTAAACACAATGAGTTCTATAAGGATTATTGGTTGGGGTTCGGCTTTGGGGGATAGGGTCGAAATATTAAAACTAAACTTGGTATATGGATGTATTATCCCATAAAAATAAAAATCGCTTTAAAAAATTCACCCCTCCCCACCCCTATCTGATATGGTGAGGGTGGCATTCCCAAAAAATTAAGTTAGAACTTTTTAAATAAAACAGTTGAAGTCTACGATTTTTTATACATAAAAACCCAAAATTACAATTTTTTTGAAAATTTTTTTTTTAAACTTAGAAAAAATTTCGACTTTAATCTTCATAGTTCGGATGTGGGGGCTGGCATTTAAAAATAGTTACAGACGACATAAAAATCTTATTTTTGACATATTTATAATATAAATGATTTGCAACATTTTTGTATAAATATCTTACCACCATTATCCCCTAGAGGGAGATGGAGGGTATGGCACCCCCAAAAAATCAAGTTAGAACTTAAAAAAAAAAAACAGTTAAAATCTACAATTTTTTATACATATGAACCCAAAATTTCAATTTTTTTATCAAATTATTAAATTAAATTATTTTTTTAATTTCTTTACTATATTTAATATTATTTCTACTTTTTCTAACAATAATCAATTTAAGATATCTACTTTGATTGAGCCAAAATATTTAGTAGGGGAAGTTTTAAATATAAAAACATACTGTGTGTCCAAAAAAATATATGAATTTGGCTAAACATTAACCTTTATTTCTAAAAACAGAAGAACAATGTTACTTGAAAAATGTATCTAGAATTAATATTTACCACCATCAAATCCTGGACCTGGACACAATTTTTTTTAGCAATACGGGAGAAGCGGAAGTGAAATTTTTACAAAAAATTAATTTCAACAAATTTATTTGAGATCATGTACAAGATTATTCATTATTAAAGACATCTTTTATAACCACTATTGCATATTCAAAAAAAGCTTTAAATAAAAGTTTGTGAAACACGTATTCAGATTTCACGAAATACAACACAAATAAACTTTTTTAAATGGGATACCCTCTATGTTATTAAATTTCTGGGATATTTTTTTTCTAATTCCACAAATGTATATTATTGATAACCCTATCTTATACCGTCTGTTCTCGAGTAATTTAACGTTGATAATGTTAACATGAAAAAGTTAACATTATTAAAGTGAAAGCTATGAAAATCACAACTATTATGTTTGATAATAAAATAATCCAAATAGGTAGTTTACAGTGAGAAAGAAAAAGTGTAAATATTTATAAGATATTCGACATAGATTATCTATGATATTCGACGTTTAATTAATCAGGAAAGAATGAAGATCATTCCGAAAATTGAATAAAATGTATATCTATGCTATCCTTATTAAAAAATATTCATGTTAAATCCTGTGAAATATGCACGCCACTGATATGGTCATTTGATGACATTTTTACAAAATTCGGTCAATGTAAACATTATACAATAATAATTATAGCATAAAGGGAGGGTAATTTATAATGAATAACCCTGTTAGGTATTAGGTACCATAAATTTTCAGTAAAAAAATTTTAATTCGCACTTTTTTACGTAGATTAAAGAAAAATGTAATTTCGTGTTTTCTTGGTGCAGACATTTTGCGACACACTGTATATTCCAATCCAAAATGATGTATTTTCTTTTAACACATATCTAATACAAATTTATTAGCAAAATTTAAATACTTGTTATTTTCGGTATATTTCTCCTTTAGACACACACATTTTTAGATTCATTGTCAAAATATTTAAATAAAATTATAATTTGATGATCCCGAGTGGCCATAGCAAAAGACGAAATTTGAGCATAAGATTTAGATGTCATTAACGTAAAATTCATGTTTTGAAAATAATTTAAGTTTTACCAATTTAGAAAATAAAATTAAATAATAAAAAAAAAGTTTCTAATCGTGGGTTTGAACTCGGAACCCTTCGATTCATAGACAAGTACTCTAAATTTTCGTTATGAATACTTATGAAAAAGTTTTACTTTTTAACGCTGATAATCAGATTGCTTTTAGTTTCATTAAAATCTCAGTTTATTTCTAAATATAGACGAATATCTTGTGGAATGCTATTATTTATTGATTATTTACAAGAATCACTAATTTTTAATTATATTTAATCTAAATAACTAAAAAAATATATACTGACAATTAATTTGACGGAATTGTCACTTATAAAGTTCTAACATCTGACGTAGAGGGCGTATCTAACCAGTAAACAAAATCGTTAGTTCAATGATTGTACCAATAGATGTCGGGCGCGATTGCCTCCAATAACTTTTACATGGCGATTATCCTACTATAGTTCTTTATACAATGGTGTTATGTTTACAAATGTCATGATCAGTAAAATTGTTTACATGTTATGTAGAAAGTTACTACTAGATGGCGGGATAAGGTATAGTAAATGATATTACCGACGAAAAGTACATAGTAGAGATTTTTAAATTTGAATTCGAATTTTAATACGAAATAAAAAAAAGTATTCAAATTGTAATAAAAAAAAATAAATAATTATGTGAACAAATATTAAATTATTCAAATATTGTATACAGTCTAGAGTTTGATAAATTTTGAATAATAAATACATGTAGTGACCAAAAAAGTTTTTAAAATGCTAAAAATTATTTCAAATTCATAAAAATTACATAAATTATTGAGTGATAATTTCAATTTTTTCAAAAAGTTGCTTCGAAACTATTTTCCCTCAAATTCACTAAATACAGGCATTTGAAGCTTAATAACTTTTTATCCGTTAGGATTACGAAAAAACTACATTAGTACTTTTTTGTAGCAAATTAAATTTCCTACAAGAATAATTGATCGAAAATTTACGTTGTTTTACTGAATAAAAACGTAAAAAAAAATTTTACGTGTTATTTAAATGGGAAAATAAAAATTGATTGAGCTCCGTGAAGAATTGAGATATCAAGCTGCGCTTTGAAGGGATTTTTTTTATACCTTAACAAAACTTTTGAGACAATAGCACTTGAAAAAAAAATGTTTTTTTGGACCACTCTAAGGTATATATTATACGAACTAAGACAACATAAGTCCTAATATACTTAATTTTTCGGAAGAGACATAAGTCAGTCATTCCTAATGTACTTAATTTAATTTGTCCAACGGTTTTAAACTTTATTTTACACTAAACGGCAACTGCTATTCTATTAGTCTTGATGAATTATGCACTGTTGTATGTAACATGAATGAGTATGAAACTCTAAACCACTTGCTTTTTGATTTCTTAATATAATAGTTTCTGCCCTGGACAACAACTGAAAATACGAAAATAATAGCCAATTATATATGGAATATATTAAAATTTATTTTAAATGAATAGTCTACTGATTTACTTTTATATTCGTTACGAATGATTCTTGTTGTTATTCATTTTAATTTGATTTTTGTATACTAAATTAAATTATTGTTATCCATCTGTATACAGAACGTTCTAGAAAGTTTGTAATATAACACTTTTGGCATCCTTAAACACTAAAAACTTCGTTAAACGCCGCTGAACAGTACAAATAATGCAATGCAATACCGCAGGGGGTCGATTCTCGACTTGTAGGAACCTTTTCCTATAGGAATTTGTGACACTTTCCTATATGTAGGGAAATGTCATAAATTTTCTATGTATCATCATCATCATCATCATCATCATCATCATCATCTGAATTAGGGCGTGGTTCAAAGCCCACTTGTACTGAAGCTCTAGGCTTATTGTACCCCTCACAGTTTCTATCCCATCAGATTGATTTCCTTGATGAATTCAAGAATATGTCTGATGGGCGCTTTCGCGATTTCTTCAGGTTCCGGATATTGTACCCCGAAGTACCATTCCCGTTCCCATTTAAGGTTCCGGCAGTGGCATAGTATGTGAATAGGAGTTTCGTCCTCCTCTTCACATATTCTGCATAGGGAGTCATCAGATATCCCTAAGAGATTTAGGTGTCTTCTAAGGCCGCAGTGTCCCGTAAGGACTCCTATTACGGCCTTGAGTTCGCTTCTGCTAAGGTTTAGCAGTTGATGTCTAAGTCCAGGAAGTTCCATCCA